GGCGGGCAGCTGAATTCGTGGGCGCTGATTGAGTCCCACTTTTGGCCTGAGAAAAAGAAAGGAAGAAAAATAAAAGTTGTTAATTAAAAGACTAGATTTTGGTAACCGATTAGAAAGTGGCTTAATTTTTTACGAAAAAATCATAAATTTTTGTTGTAAATTAATTTTAGGGAAAAAGCTGTTTGAAGTATTTTAAAGTCTAACTAAAAAATTAAATTAGATTGCTTGGCGACCTTTTGATGCACAATTGATACAAACGGAAAGTAAAAAATTGTGTTAACACTAATAGCATTAATAAATCACATAAAAGAAAATCAATGCTGATTTTTAAAAAACTTGAAATTAAAAACTGTTTTACAAATTTTTTACCAGTTTACAGAGGGCCGAAGAGCATATTATAAAAATAAAACAAATGAAATTCTCTAAACTTTCAGCTTTAAGTTAAAACTCCTAATTGCAACAAAAAACAACGTCGCCAAATTCCTTTACTGACGGGCAATTCTTTATCGACTTCTAATGTGACTGATGTCACTGCCTATTGTTGCTGCAGTGTGTTAAAACACAAAAATTAATTTGTCATTTAACTTTTTTTGTAGAACAACATCAACGGTTGTTGTCACAAAAAAAAGGAGGTCAAAGCTGTGCAGCACTTTAGTGCAGCAGACAAAAAATCTCCCACTGGAGGTAATAACTAAAATAAAAAGGAAACTTTTTTACCATTTAAAAATAAGGCTGATACAGAAAAAAACTTTGAAACTCCTAAAATCTCAGAAAAAACCTAAAATTCCAACTCACTGTCCAATTAGGGACACCAAATTAGACACAACAAAAAACAAAAACAAAAACCAGCATCAACAAAAAATTTAAAACTGCAAAGTAGTCAACAGCAAAACATTTTAAGACATCAACCGACTTGACAACAAAAAGCTAAAGCAGAAAACAGCAGTGATGACTGAAAAAAGACCTTAATGAACCTCTCTCAAAGATGCAAAAAATTTGCACTGCAAATCTGCAGCAGGAAAAACAACCGTCGTACAACAGCAAACGACTGTCAACGTCTTTGCCAACAAAACAAAACAGCAAAAAAAGAGGAGATAGCATCAGTAAGAAGATCACCTAATTGGCTAGGTAATTACGAGAAAAAAAGAAAAATCGTCTTCTCAGACTTCTTGTTTATGAGCAGTGCGCTCTCGTTTGCTCGCTTGTTTTTTTTCGTGCAAATGAAGTGGCCCACTCATTTTCTGTCTAACGCTGTTTATTTATTTGTTTGTCTGTCTGACTGACTGACTGTGTGAGAAAGTACTACTATTACTGCTGCTGCTGCTGTTTCAAAAAGTTGCAAATTAACAAGGCAGAAAACATGGGAAAAGAAAAAGAAAAAAAGGAAAAAGAAAAAGAAGATGAATATAAAGTACAAGAATAAGTGAGAGTAAAAACTATTTTAGTTAATAAAAAAGAAGTAGAAGTATTATGGACTAATTTACCAGTTGTAGGTCTTAGAATTGCTGCTTACGAAATATTAATAAATGAGCAATTAATTGACGACTGCCTAGTGAAAAATTAAAAATGCAAAATACAAAAAATTAAAATTTTTTATGTTTTAAAAACCTTTTTAGTTCAGTTTGAAATGCTTAAATTAACAAATATCAAAATTAACCCATTAAAACTAATACAATAAAAAACCTTTTGTGCATCCAACAAAAATTTATAAAGAAATAAAAAATATCTAAACCAACAGCATCAAAATGAAAACAACACAATATTAAAAATAGAAAAAAAACAGCAACAGCAGCAGCAACAACAACAAAAGCAGTAAAAACAATCGTCAATAGTCAATTGCAGACAATCAAATAAACACACAAACACACACAAACAACCAGCAAAAAACAAGCAAGCAAAAAATAAGCAGCGTGCATCTCTCTCTCTCTTTGTTGTCTATTGTCTTTTTTTCCTTCCCTTCCTTCCCTCTCAATCAGCAGCAATAAAAAAAATTCTAAACTAGCGTTTACTACAGAGTTTCAGCAGCAGCAGCAGCAGTTACACAGTTGATTGTCCTGCATTTCTTTCTCACTTTTTGGTTTTTTAACCAGAAAAAAACAGAGAGGAGAAGGAGAAAGAAGATTTGGGGGCAGAAGCACTGAGTTGCAGTAGCGAAAAGCAATTTTAGATAAATTTAAATTTAAAGACCAAGACGTGGTGGTGGTGGCGGTGGTGGTAAGGAAAGGAGAAAAGAAGCCNCAGCAGCAGTTACACAGTTGATTGTCCTGCATTTCTTTCTCACTTTTTGGTTTTTTAACCAGAAAAAAACAGAGAGGAGAAGGAGAAAGAAGATTTGGGGGCAGAAGCACTGAGTTGCAGTAGCGAAAAGCAATTTTAGATAAATTTAAATTTAAAGACCAAGACGTGGTGGTGGTGGCGGTGGTGGTAAGGAAAGGAGAAAAGAAGCCGAATAATAATATGAAAAAATTTAAAGCCGACGGCAGAGCAAGCAAGCAAGCCAGTTGGCAGAATGAGTAATTTAAATTTCAAATTAAACTGCCGACGTTTGCTTGGCGTCGGCAAACGACTAGCAAAGAAGAAAAAGAAGTAGAAAAATAAAAAAGGCAAATTCTATTACTGAATCTTAGCAGACTACTAGGGCAAAGAAAAGGCAAAAGAAGAAGAAGAAAAAGAAGCTAGAGGAAAAGGATTCTAAATGAAAAACTTTCTGCTACTGCTGCTGCTGCTGCTTCCTAGTTTGCTTCCTAGCTATCTATCTCTTCTGAATGTTTCCTAGTTCTTTGTGGCTTGCAACAGTTTTTTAAGCCGAGTAAATAGAAGTAAAAAATAGTAAAGGACAAGTAGAAAGAAAAATAAAGTACTTTTGACAAACAATTTTGTACCATTTTTAAGAGCAAAGAAATTTTTTACTATAAGTAAAAAGTATAAAGTAAAATTAAAATAAAATTAAAATGCTAGCTTAAATGATGAAGTAATTAAAAAGCAGTAAAACTTAAAATATAAAAAAATTTGACCTTTTAAACATCATGCCTCCAAAAAAAATTTGTTTGAAATGTTTGCTGTCAATCATCATTTTTTAAAACACAATTAAATAAAACTATAATTTGGTAACCTTTTTCTTCAACCCCCAATCAAGTGAAAAAAATTAAAAAAAAACGTAAGCTAATAAATCTAGGCTAACCTTTTAAAAACTTTAAAAAAAAGAAACTCAAAAGCCAATTTAAAAAAATCTTAACTTTTAAAAGCTAACAAAACTCAAAACACACACAGCAAAATCAAATCAAATCAAAGTAAAAAAATCAGCCACTTACCCTGCAACCGAGCGGGCGCCGAGCAGACCGGCTTCACCGGAAGCGGAACGTTATTCGCCGCAATCCACTCCCTCACTGCCTTCAGGTGACAGTCACACCGCCAGCGATTGTCATGCAGTCCCAGACTGGCCATCTTCGGCGGGAGAAACTGCACAAAGGAGTCGGCGGCGGCAATGGAGGCCAGTTGATTTCCCTCCAATTTAAGCGTCTGCAGTGATCTTAAACCTCGAAAAGCATCAGCTTCCAAGTGGACCAGCGAATTGGAGCTCAAGTCGAGCACCACCAAGCGACCGAGGCTGAGAAAGGCCGCCGATCGGACTTCTCGAAGTCGATTTCCGGCCAAGGAGAGGCGCCGAAGCGAGGGCGCCTCGAAGAAGGACTTTGAGGGGACCGCCGTCAGTGAGTTGTTGCTCAGGTCAAGCTCGACGAGGTTGGACAGTTTGACGAAGGTCTCTGCGCTGATGTCACCTGTGATTTAGAAATAAAAAATCAAAAAAATTTTATGATTAAATTGATGATAAAATGTAAAAAGAGTGATTTGTGCTAG